GTGTCAGCCGTGACTGCCGCTTTGCAGGCACAATCGCCCTTCTCACAATCAAATTGCAACATTTACATTGCCTACTTGTTGTTGTGTTGTTGCAAAGCGAGCGAGTTGAAAGAAATACCAGCCAAGCCAGCAAAGAAAAATAAAATAAAACCCAAATCAAAGCAAAAACTAATGTCAGCACAAAAAACACAGCAGCCGCAACAATAAAAGACAGCAACACAGTTTACATGGATTCGCCGGCCCTGCTGCTGCCTACCGCTATCAACCAACCGCCCGGCTTATATGTACTACTCGTCGGAAGAAGGTTGCAACAACGACGCTCCGCACAAACGCAAAGCGAGTCCCCAAATCTGTTTTTATTATTTATCATTTGGTGTGTACTAACAAATACCTATTTTTTTATTTTCTTTATCGCTTTTGGTGCTCTGCTTTTGGTCGACAAACAAAACGCGAGCACCTTTGGCGTTATGCGTCCGCTCTTCCTGGGACAGCAATCGCCACTGCTTTTTTTTCCGGCATCTTCTTCAAATTTTGCTAACTTTTTGCTGTCCGAGTGCTACCTTAAACGCTTTTGTGTGCCAAGCAATCGAATTTTCTTCCGTTCTGAGTTTGGTATGTACGTATTAGGGATGTTAATTTTTTCGATTTTTACGATTCCGGGATTTCCGGGATGTCGTTGGTTCAATCCTGGGATCAGTCCCGGGATTTAATATTTATTATTTTTCAACAACTTAACATGAAAAAATTGCATTAATATGGTTTGAGAAGCTATCCTACCATATAATAAATAATAAGTAAATGGGTTTGCAACGTACTTTATTTATTTAAAGTGAAAATTATTTCATAAGCAACAAAACGAAAGACCGTAATTAAATTTGTATGCATTTAATAATACTTTAGCGTGTACATATCTGATAAAGTAATTTAAGGTATGTCTAAACAAGCTCGATGCAAAAAAAAAAATTAAGTCAAAAAATTTATGTTCTAGTTCAAAGAATATGCTAGTGGCAGAAAAAAAAACAAAAGCGCCTTAATTCGACCAGTTTTGTTTATATTCCTTTTTTTATTTAAAATTTTTCATTTTTTTATAAAAGTCTACCGCATATAAATGGGCATTTCTCTGACGTCATGATTTCTTTAAAAAGACTTTATAATTTCAAAGATATGTTTAATTCCAAATTTTAGTTAAAAAAATTCGGTGCAATGTAAAATAAAAAGACGGGTTCTAAATGAAATAATTTTTTTTTTTTGGGTTCATAAGGACGAATAGGAATTGAAAATACCCCTTTAACCTATTTTACTTTTTTAAGCTAGTAAAGTTAGTCCTTAACACATAACTTTTTCAAAAATAATATTTGCAAAATTTCAAGGATATTCAAGGACAAAATTAAAAAACCGTATTTTCAATACCTAGCTGTCCCTTACGCACCAAAAAATTTAATGGTTTTTAATTCTACAGAATCTTCTCTTTCATATGATATCCATATTAGTTTTTTGAGTACATATATTGCACTGAAATTTTTAAATAATTTTTTGAATTACTCATATCTTTTAAATTTCAAAGTTCTTTTAAAAAATCCTGACGTCAGAGAGAAAAATTAAGAATGCAATTTTGAAATACTTGGCCTTTGGTTTAGCAAATATATCGTTTTTTTTTGTGCAAAATTGACTGCCGTAAGGTATTATATGTATGTACATATATTGGGGTACACATCAAAAAAAAATTTAATGTTAAATAAAGATGAGAAATATAGCCAAAACTGGTTAACATAAAGCGTTTCTATTATTGCCACCAGTGTTAATTACAAATCCCGAGAACCCCGGGATTCTAGGCAAATAATCCCAGGATTTCCGGGACTTAAAAAACAAGGGATCCCGGGATCTCGGGATTAACATTCCTAGTACGTATGCATGTATGTATGTACTAGCATTCCTAGTCACACATTTTTTTTTTATTCCTCTGCTTTTGAGCGCTTCTTGTTGCTACTTGTTACAAGTTGTGATTTTAGTTTTAGTTTAGGTGTTTGATATAATGATTATAATTGTGTGGCACGAATGGTAAGTTGTTATGGTAGTAGAATAAGGAGGAGTTTGGTTAGATGAACGATAAATGGAATAAAAAGGAGTATTAACATGTAATGGGAAATTAAAGCAGAATTCATCCGTAGGCCATAGAGAAGGACTGCAGTTGCTAAAATATAGTAATAGAATAGTGTGATGTCCAGAGTTTGGGAAAATACCTAATTGAACTAGGATAGCGTTCATAAAAAGGTGTTAATTTTCATTAGAGTATATAGCTTATAGTTAATAAAAATCGACACCTTTTAATGGTATTTTAGAGAGGTTGTGAGTCATAAAGTGGGGTCGACTGAAGGAGACTTTTACCTGTACATACATTTTTATATCCTCTTATACCACTCCATTTTTTTTCCAATACTAGAGGTAAGATTTTTGCAAGGACAGCTCCTAGTACGATTGCCCCATTACTTCCGAGTTTAAATTGAATCCCTCGGTTCACAGATTCGAAACTTGGATATTCTTTTACACACCTATGTACGTTCCTTGCAGAGCTGCTAGCTTATCATCGATTTTTTTTTTTGTAGCAGAAGGCAAACTACTTCTTGTCGGAACAATTAACGTAAATGTTTTCTTTGGAAGAGTATTGTTAATATTTCATTAAATCATAGTTTCTAAAAAAATAATTGGCCTGCGGAAATCCTATAAACTCTTCCAATGGTATTTTTCAGGCAGATGCTTATCTTATCTTAACTATGGCCATTGCTTCTGTCGCTAATTTACCTTCCTGCTCATTTTTATGTATGCCTCTGTGCGACCCACACTAGTTAAAATTAAGTACATACATCCCCAAGCGGGTACAGAAAATATGGCCGGACTTTCATTCGACTTTTCTGCTTCTTAGATGCTACGGTACTTTTCATAGATCTGAACATTTTGGTTCCACAAACATTTACATATACAACAAACTTTAATTTGACAACATTCGGTGGGACAGTACTCTAATACCGTGTCAAGGCCCAGTTAAAGGGCAGACCTTTTACTTCAATTTATATCAATAAATAAATCTAGTAAAAGGTCTGAAATTTTAAGAAAAAGTAATTGCTTGTTTTTAGTGATAGTTCAAAGCTTGTAATGCGATTGTACTAAGGACTAAAAAATAAAACTCAAACGAAGCTTTTTTAAGCACTAAATTAGAATTGACCACGTAACACGTACGCAAGATAAGCTTTTTGTACATTGACGGACACAGAATAAACGCTCTTTCTGCTCCTTTTTCAGAGCAGTGACGACCATAAAGAGGCTTTATTCCATTCTAGTCGCTTTCATATGATATTTAATAAAAATATTTACCGCTAACCTGCGGGACCTTTCGGCATAAATGGCCATTAAACTCGCTTTCTTATCGGTGTTTTCTCTCAAATCTGGTCTGGTATAAAACCTGACTGAAAAGACTGACTACATATCTGCTTCTGCTTAGATGGATTTTTCCATAGCATAAGACTTTAATAATGGATTTTTTCCATTCAAAATCTAACGGCACCTGGTGATATATTTATCTAATTATACCAATTACTCACATATTTCAAAAAGGGTTCAGCATTCCTTTTGACGAAACAGCAAGCTGCGGCCATAAAGTAAATTGTATACCGTTAGTTATCTATCGCTGTGCTAAAAGTCATAATAAACACGTAAGCCGTTAATGGCTTCTACTTTCATGCGATGCACTTAGCAACTACAAAAGTAATAAAAACAAAAATTAAATGCAAAAATTTTTTAACTTTATAACTTCCGCATGAGAACAAAAGCACAATCAAGTGCTTTAGCACAGCGAAGAAAAGTAATACTGCCTGCCGCCGCCGCCGCCGCCGCCAAATTCATAATTAAATACTCATGTGCTTTTCCATTTTTTATGGACCATTAAATATGCGGCTTCATTTTTAGCTACTAAAAATGGTCGATGGTGGCTGTAAATTCAACAAATATTGCCCAATTCTGATGCTCCTGCTGCGGTATAGCATTCACTTGGCAAAATCATAAAGGAGTCCACATAGAATTTAGCGCTGCATAAGCCGCATTAATATAGCGGCTTTTTATTTACTAATGGCATACCACTCATGAAGCGGCGATAATATTTGTTTAACACTCCGAAGAAAAGCCAAATAAACTGCACATGAAAAATCATACCGAAGTATTGGGATGCGGTTGCTGCTTGGGTGGAAAGCTCATATTATGTTACCGGGTGGAAAATTGCTTTTATTGAACCATTTTTTAATGGCCCATCGTATGATGAACCACTGAATGTTACCAGATATGTATAGTCGCGGAAGTCAGCTCAAAGAACGTCATTTAAGCTGACCCTAAAATATTATAGTAAGGAAAAAAAAGATAGTAAAAATGGTATAGTATCACAAAATGTCAGCTACTCGTTTCATAAGTCGACTAAATTATTAACGCCTCAGGTTCAGGTATCCAATGTGGGCAAAAACTTAACGAATTTTTGTTATTCACATTCACAGGGAATGTGCTTTGAAGTTCCTCCGTCTTCAAGGCAGAGCTAACATTTTAACACTGTGGTCTTAGCAATTTGGTGCACATAAAAATAGAAGCAACCCGTTAGAAACCAAGAATAATTTAACAGAAAAATAATGGCCGAAAATCCTTTTTGCAGGCTCATTCTGAAACCTTCACCCACGCTTTAGTTTTTTTTTTTGTTTCTGGCCACTCGTGAGGTTTGCTCATATATATATAGCTAGGTGCAAAGGTAATTAATGAAGGGAAGAGTACTAATCAGCACCCCAAGCGTATGTATTAAATAATATCTGCCATGCAAAATGTGAAATCATCTGCACAATCGAAGACAACGTTTGCTTACTTGACCTCTACTTTTTGATTTATTTTCACAATTTTTCTTGTTCTTACTTGTCTGTCTATCTGTTTATTTGTTTAACTGCTACTGCATCGTTTATTTATGTTTTTTACAGTTATTGGCCAACAAACCACGCCGCCAGAATTGCCAATTTACGGTGATCCCTACACGGAAATTGCACTGGATCTAGTCTTCCCAAAGGGGAATCCAACATTCCTGCTCGAAGGCAAGAAACTGCAGCTGCTGCAGCCGCTCGATCGCGATGAGGAGAATCTGAGTCACATTGTCTTTCAGGTAAGTATTTAAGTGCAACGACATCTGTGCTCTGTGTGTTCTAAGTTATGAGTTGAGTAAAGGCAAACTGGGGAAGCAGCATGTGTGCACAAGTTTGTGTTTGTTGAGAGTGTGTTTGTGTGAACATATGCAATTCGGTGCACCAAAGGCGGTACGCTTGTGGTGAATGAATGCCTTGCCCATACTCACTTACTTATGCACACACACATTAAAGCATGGATAGGGATGTGCAAAAGCGGTCATAAAACGCTATTGAAACACCAACGAACAAAAAATAAATAAAAAACAAAAAACTAGCAAACAAAATCGAACAAGCTCACGCTGGCCTGCCGCTGTGAGATTTTTCCTGGTGAAATGCAAATTTTTATGGAAAAATTTTACAGTTGCACGCCAGTTGCAGTAACACACAAAAAAACGCTTAATAAACAAATATGCAAGCATTTTATGGCTGCTTTAGTTTTTGCGATTTGGCGTGGAGCGAAACAATTTTTTAAGTACATCTTATTCCGCCATTATGATACATACAAACATACATAAATAACTACCTGTGACTTCGTGTGCGTGAGGATATGTGTGCGAGTGTGTTTGTATGTGTGTGGTTACTAGCTGTTTTGTTTATTTAATATATATTTTATTTTATTTTGTTTTTGTTTTTGTTTTTCTTCATTCTCATTTCGCTGCACCACAGGTCTCCTGCACCATTCGTGCAACAAACAAGCGACGCAACATTCCGATTATTGTGCGCGTATCTGATGTCAACGACAATGCGCCGCGCTTCATGAACACACCCTATGAGGTCACCGTGCCGGAGGTAAGAAATGAACAATCCTTAAGAACAACAAACGAAGAAAAAAGAAATTAAAAACTTTCCTAAAAGCAAAAAGCAAAAAAAACTATTTCCTTTAATTTCGCAAGCGAACCTCTTCACTGCAATCTTGATAAGCCGCTTAGCGGGAAGCTCTACGACTTGCGCCGTCTTTCCAACAGCACAACACCACAAATGCAAAGTGCCGCTTTGATTATTTGCTGTGTATATATAGTATATTTGGCAAAGCGCAAATGCGCCGCTTGTGTGCGCTTTATGTACAATATTCACAACAACAACGCAGAGCAGCAGTACTGTGCTCTACCTAGAATTGCAGCACAATCATTGCGGGCAACGAGAACAATTAAATATGAAACGTTCTACTAAAGCAGCGCGCCTGCGCAAAACTGCTGCGGATGCGCATGCCGTTTGCGGCCCAGCTGGTTTTCTCCTGTGCCTGTGTCAGCCGCGCTTAGTCCATTGGCAAGTTAACTAACCTGGTGGGTGGTTTCTTCTGGTCGCAACTGGTTTTTCGCGCCCACGCGCAACTTCAACTTCATACAAAACGCAAATATTGCTCTTAGAGAAAATGCTTTAAAACGTTTGCTAACTGCTGTGGTTATTGCTACTGTCATACTGCTGTTGTTGCTCTCCTAAATGACTCACAAGTCAATTCAGTTAATATTGACATTTACTGCAGAATAAATGAACATACCACATAAATATGTGCAAAAATGTTAAAGCACTGAATGGCGGGCGATCTTAAAAGTTGTAATTGGACTTGGAAAATAAGCATAAATCAAAAGACTTAAGCAGCAAACTTGCCGCAAGCTTTAGGGATATATGTACATATGTATGTATGTATTCACATAAGTATGTTAGCAATTTTCTTAATAGAAGTTTAAATCGACGAGTATTTAGCATAAATTAAGTGAACATGAAATTACTTTTTATTCTAATTTTCAAGATATCTGACTGAAATTTGGAAAACGGATGTATTTTATAATGTATTAATCATTTGTCGACGGACTACTTGTATAACATAAAACAGCTCCCATACAGCTGATTCTTCAGATATTGGGTTTTTTGTCATAACTTCCATATTAATGAAGCTGGGAGCATAAAGATTCATGCAAGGGAGACGTCAAAATAGGATATTTAGAAGAAGAAAAGCACAAAGGCACAGATTTAAAAAAAGAGTAAAGAAACCTAAAGATGAAGATAAAAGGGGAAGGCAAATTTAAATATTTTATATAATGGCAATGGTGGGTGAATGAAGATAAAGATCTGGGTAAATGTAAAGGGAAAGATAAAGATAAAAATGAAAATATAAATATATACATATACATACATATAATATAAAGGTAATAATAAAAATTAAAATGAAGACTAAAATAGAGATGGAGAAAGTGATAGAGATAAAGAGATGTGTTATTTTATGCTCTGTTGTGTTATGTTATGATATGTTTTTTATGCTATTTTATGGTATGTTATGCTGTGCTATGTTATGTTAAATTGTGATATGTTGTGTTATGGAATGTTTTGTTATGCCATGTTATCTTATGGTATGTTATGTTCAACTACGTTATGTTATAATACATTATGTTGTGCTATGTTATGTAACTCCCCTTTTCTAATCTCACACCAACTAATGCTGTTTCATCTCGACTTACCTTGTCTCACCTGAAGTAATATTAACTCAGCTCAACTCACCCTAATAACCCATCTTAATTTATCTAAACTCACTTCACTTCATTAACTCAACTCAATTCAACTCATCTTGATTTTACCGGTTGAATTACAACAGCTGGGCGAACACTAGTTATTTTTGAAGACAAATCTTCTTCTTGCTTCTGAAAAAATTGTTTTACATCTTCTCGAATTTAAAATTTTTTGAAAATTTTCAAGTTAAATATGTTTTTTTTTTAACGAAGCGACAATCATTATTTTCTTACGTTTAATGCGGCCGCTGTGGTGTAGTGGTAAGCAGTGCACGCTGCCACTCCGCATGGCCTGGGCTCAAACCCTGGTCAAAGCAGCATCAAAAAAATATAGAAAAAAGGTTTCGTTCTTAACAGCGGTCGCCCTTCGGCAGGCAATGGCAAACCTGCGAGCCTATTTTTGCTATGAAAACCCGTTTCTCACCTTTGTGTGACAACATTAAGGCGCACACCACAAATCGAGGGATAAGCTCGGCCCAACACAAACACACGCGAAGGGATTCTTTGACGAGGACAAAAGATCTGCACCGTCCGCGCGATTTTTAAACATGAGATGTCAAATTAAAGCGCTTGGTCTGTAAATGTGCAAACTGATTTTTGTTTTTCGAAAGAAGCTGCCGTCTGTTGATAATTTTAACTCAAATTATTTAACGATCTTCCGAAGTGAGGTGTCAAATTAAAAGGCTTGGATTTTAGATGTGCAATGAGGTTTCGATTTTTTGAAAATATATTCAAATTATTTAAACAAATGATTCAACTATAACAAAATGGGTATCAACCGAAATGGTTTTGGAGGGCTTTGCTTATTAGCTGAACTATAGGAAGGTTGCCACCTGTCAAAAAAAAATCATATTAGGTAAGAGAAATATGTATCACCACGTGGGTGGCAAACAAAGGGGTTTCAGAAAGCAGTAATGAAATATAAAAACATGGATGCCAAATGAAGGAATGTTAAGAAATCTTTGATTTGAACTTTAAGAATATTTTTGAGGTGATGGAGGAGGGTTGCCACCTATTTAAAAAATTAAATTGAAAGAATTAATTCAATTTTCATTTCTGAATTGTATTTAGCGGGGTTGCCACATGTTTGAAAACTTAAATTCCACTTAATTTATCAGTTAATTAAAATATGTATCGCAATGTACGACGAAGGAGAGTTAACAAGGATTAAGTTTCAAAATACTTTCGAAGAGGGCTGCCACCTGTTTGAAAGGTCTAACTCAGTTAACTAATACAATAAGTATATGAAATATGGAAATACCTTAATCAAACGACTGACCTGACTTTTACTTAGGAGGGTTGCCATTAGTTCGAACAATTAAATTCAAATTGATTCATCAGTTTAGTGAATGACAATGTCAGACGAAAAAGATTTAATAAGATTTGACTCTGAAAATACTTTTGAAAAGGAATTTCAAAAATGAGAGGTCGAATTAAAGCCCTTAGCCTGTTGATGTTTGATACGGTTTTATTTATTTATTTTTTTTAACTAAAAATTTTTTCATCGGTATAGGGTGATTTGAGATTTCATGAAATTAAATACATGCACTATGCGAGACTGCACTTCACTCAGAAACAACTACACGGTTTTAGATGAAATATGTCACTCGGATCTCTTATAACTCCGACTTTTGGAATATTTTGTTAAGTTTTTGAAATTCAATTTTGGGGAGTTTTAATGCCATGCGGGTTCACTAGTGTGGATTATTATTGTAATATGATAAAAAATATTGAATTTTATTATTTCAGTAGTACAATATGAAAAGAAGGTCCTTATTAGTTGGTTTTCGCGTTGTCCACATCGGCTTTGGGATGACCGAATAGATGGTTTATACCGGTTCTGTATCCGTTCATCTTTTCCATTATTTGACATATAAATAGTGAAAAGCTTCTTATGGAGGACTTATCAGATCTAAAGGCACACTGATGCGACCCAATCGCCTCGTTGACGGTGAGCTTTAGAGCCTTTCGCATAATATGCCAGATCGACTTATAGCCGATGCTCAGAAGGCTGATCCCGTGCTAGTTGGCGCATTTGGTGGGGTTTCCCTTTTCATAAATTGGGTGGCGTACACTTCACTTCCCGTGTTCAGGCATACATACATCTCCCACCCACTGTATTCCTCAAAGGGTTAATGCATGCACGCTATCACGCTATCAAATTAGCATCTCCGTACTTGAAGGTTTTCTTTATTTTCAGCCCCGAATCCGCTTTTCATAGCTCCATAGTTAGGTTTTTCTAATAGCAGCGTAAAGCTTTTCTTTTAAGATCCCACTACTTATGTGTGAAGAAACACTCTTAATAATTTAGTTCGCTAAAATTGCATTATTGCATTACATCATAATATTGAATTAAACCATGAATAAGTATCTACTAACCGTCAAATGTACTTATGTAAGGACATACAAAAAAAAAATATGTATGTAGATATATGCATGCATCGTCGGTATATTAGGTATTAGGTTAGGCTGCCCGATTGACAGACATGCAACCAATGCAACATCAAAACGATCACCTTCGCTGTCAGAAATTTTCACATGCCAAGATGTTGGCCCGTGCAGTTTTTTTTCTGTTTCACCTTTTTCGATCTGCTTTTTATTGCTGTTATTAACTGGATATCTCTCCAGAGCATTGCCCTGGGAAGTAATTTTGCATGAAGAATAACATGAATGCAGATATAGAAGAGATTATAAAAAAGCTGTTAAATAACCCATAAAAGTAATATAAAATTGTCTGAGTCATGTATGTTTGTATGTATGTATGTAAGTAAGTTATGGAGCATTGACATCTTGTAGGTTGCATGTTGTAGCCGGTTTCATGCAGGCGTTGCTCCTTTGAATAAACTCATTTACTGCAAGTCTTAGACGAATGCATTTACCATACTTAATAATAACAATTACATCTAAAAAAATATATGTATGGGTAACAGCGTATAGATGTGGATATTTAAATAACAGTTGTTCCCACTTTTTCTAAGCTCTATAAAGTAATGTTCTTCAGTTTCCATGAATAGAATAATTTTTAGTTCTTCATGTGCACTGAGCACACAGCGTAAATTAAGGGCCGATTTCTCAAGTATTTGTTTTAAATTTATCTGCCCTTTAATGCTAAATGGCCTTAATGGAAACACCCGTTCCATAATAATAGTGCACGAGGTTTTCAATAACTTTCTGAGAATGAACTCTAAGCAGGTTTAGCTATTAGAAGCATAGACAAAATTTTTAAGAGACCTCTAGACCCTTTATTTAAATATTACCATCTCCTGGCCGGTAGTAGCCACCAGA